TTTTTCCATCAGATTCATCAGGAGCATGAAAGCTGCAAATCAAACAGCTGTTTCAGAATTTTTTCTCCTGGGGCTGACAGATGATCCAGAACTGCTCCTCCTCATCTTCTACCTGTTCCTGGCCATGTACCTGGTCACTGTGCTCGGAAATCTGCTCATCATCCTGGCAATCAGCTCTGATTCCAACCTCCACACCCCCATGTACTTCTTCCTCTCCAACCTGTCCTTTAGTGACATCTGTTTAGTCTCATGCACCATCCCGAAGATGCTGGTGAACATAGGAGCACAGGATCAGAGCACCTCCTACACAGGCTGCCTCTCCCAGATCTTCTCTGTCTTAGTTTTTGGTGGTTTAGAAAATTGTCTCCTTGCAGTGATGGCCTATGACCGCTATGTGGCCATTTGTCACCCACTGAGGTACACAGTCATCATGAACCCTCAATTCTGTGTCCTGTTGTTTTTTCTCTCCCTGTTTATTAGCACTGTGCATGCCATGCTCCACACTCTGATGGCACTGAGGCTGTCTTTTTGCACAGACCTGGAAATCCCTCACTTCTTCTGTGAACTTGCTCAGATCATCAAGCTCTCCTGTTCCAATACCCTCAGCAATAACATGCTAGTGTATTCGATGGCAGGCTTATTTGCTGGTGTTCCTGTCTTTGGAATCATTTTCTCCTATATGCACATTGTGTCCTCTGTCTTGAGGATGTCATCAAGAGGAAAGTATAAAGCTTTTTCCACCTGTGGGTCTCATCTCTCTGTAGTTTCATTGTTCTATGGGACAGGTGTGGGGGTCTACATCAGCTCTGTAGTTACAGATTCACCAAGGAAGAGAGCAGTGGCTTCAGTGATGTATTCCGTGGCCACTCAGATACTGAATCCCTTTATCTATGCTTTGAGGAACAGAGATATGAAGGAAGCTTTGAGGAGACTCAGTGGTATTTTACTTTCTTTTTTGTCATGTGGTATTTGTTTTAGATTCAGGTTTCCAGAGCAAGTCAAAGTAACAGGATTTGGTGGGAGTTAGAAAACCTGATCCTTTTCTTTGCATACCACAGTTTTCTACAATAATCACATAACAGAATGATTAGGTGGATTTGAAGTTGG